CACTCTGTTGCCCAGTCTGGAGTGCAGTGGCCACTCCCGGCCGCCACAGCCTCGACCTGCTGGGCTCTGGAGATCCTTCCACCTCAGCCTTACGAGTAGCCAGAATTACAGGCATGTGCTACCACGCCCAGCTGATTTTTTGATTTATTGTAGAGATGAGGTCTCGCTGCCCAGGCGGGTCTCGAACCCGCGGGCTCAGGCAATCCACTCACCTCAGCCTCCCAAAGGTGCGGGATTACAGGCTGAGCCACCGAGCCCGGCTCCGCCCTGCTTTTAAATAAGCTTATCCAAACGGCACTAGCACGTCTGATCAACGGGTGACGCGGTGGAGCCTGGAAGGCCAGTGATGACATGGAGACACCAATCGTCTGACGGACCAGGCTGCCCTGGATTTCAGTGGACTGTGTGGAATCAGGCGGACATAACAGGATGACCACAGCAATCTACCAAGGATTCGGCAAAAATACACGCTTTGGGTCCCCACGTAGGAATCTCATTTACTTCACCACTCAAGGAGCTTTACTTCCGACTTCCTTCCAGGGGGATGACCGTAAAACAGCTCAGTGTATTCTGTAGCAAACTGTAACACCCTAACGTACCTCCACGGATGGTGGACACCAGACATGAACAAGAGAACGGAAGCCTTCGGCACCCCGATGTGCGTGGGCTTCCAAACACAGAGATGTTGGTGAGAAGCTAGGATGCAACGTCTGCTAACTACAGACGCTGTCAAAAGAAGAGGTGTTTATTAGATTCTGAACGGCCCGGTCGTCAATTGGCAGCCGGCAGCATTCCACGCAAAATCTCATCGGCAAGTGGAACGTGATCACAGGCAAGACTAGACAAGGCCGTCCGCGTGCCTGGGGCCTGGAATCCGCCGGGAGCCCCCACGACACCCACCCGGCGGCGCTCTCCATCCGGGCTCTCGAGGGACTGCCTGCCACAGCCACGGCGGGGAGAGAAACAACTCCATGGTCTAAAGGTTTTTTTTAAGCGGTATTAAATATAAGTCTTAGCACCTTTGGCATTTTTGTCCAAACAGACTTCGACGTAGGAGGTGGGGACGTAGCCCTCCTCGTCTTCGCTCCTCCGGATGCGGGTCCACCCGTCCCCTTTGTCTTCCTCGATGACATACAGCGTCTCGCCTTCCGCCACGGAAATGGTTCCTTCATTCTGACCTGAAAAAGCAACAGCCGGGACGTTCAGGCCTCTCGTCCAATCCAGGCGGAAAGCACATGGGGCCCTGGCAATAGGAAGGGGAGCGGAAGATGAATCTCCTACAGCGCCCGGCCGCTGGGAGCGTGCGGACGCACTGACCGCTCACCCGCTGCCCCAAGCATTCTCCTCCCACACAGAAGCTTCTAGATCTTCACCTTCTAGCTCTTCTTTATTAGTTTTTGTTTTTCTGGGTGGGGGAGGGCCTCACTGCGTCACCCAGGCTGGAGTGCAGTGGCACGATCACAGCTCCCGGCAGCCTTGACCCCTGGGCTCAGGCAATCCTCCCGTTCAGCCTCCCGGGTAGCTGGGACGACAGGCAGGCACCACCACGCCCAGGCTGACATTGCCCAGGCTGGTCTTGAACTCCTGGTTTCAAGCGATCCTCCCACCTTGGCCTCCCAAAGTGCTGGGATCACAGGCATGAGCCACCACACCTGGCCTTCTCCCTGTTTTCTTTCTTTTTTTTTTTTTTTGAGTTCGAGTCTCACTCTGTCACCCAGACTGGAGTGCAGTGGCCGCTCTTGACCTACTGGGCTCCGGCGATCCTTCCGCCTCAGCCTTCCGAGTAGCCGGAATTACAGGTGTGCGCTACCACGCCTGGCTGATTTTTTGATTTATCGTAGAGATGAGGTCTCGCCAAATTTCCCAGGCATGTCTCGAACCCGTGGGCTCAGGCAATTCACTCACCTCAGCCTCCCAAAGGCGCAGGATTACAGGCTGAGCCACTGAGCCCAGCTCTCCCTGTTTTCTAATTGGTCCACCACGTATGACAACAACACCTCTCCTGAGGCATGGCTTGGACTGCATCAGCACCCTGCTCAAGTACTTTCCATGGCCCCTCAGTGTTGGCAGGATAAAATCCAAACGTTTCTCTTATCCTCTGCCCGCAGTGGCACGCTCAGCTTTTACCACTGAAGACATCTAGAGGCCGGGCGTGGTGGCTCAAGCCTGTGATCCCAGGACTTTGGGAGGCCAAGGAGAGAGGACCACCTGAGCCCAGGGGCTTGAGACCAGCCTAGGTAACTTGGTGAGATCTTGTGTCTACAATAAATAAAAAAATGAGCCGGGCGTGGTAGCACGTGCCTTTAGTTCTGGCTACTCAGAAGACGGATGTGGAAGGATTGCTTGAGCCCAGCAGGTCGAGGCTGCAGTGGCCATGAGTGTGCACTGCACGCCAGCCTGAGCGACAGAGTGAGACTCCAATTAAAAAAAAAGACATCTAGGCTCCAGTCACAGCTTGGACATGCCCCCGTGTCTGGACATGCCCTCATACTTGGACACGCCTCCACACTTAGACACGCCCCTGCCATAGAGCATTCTGGACGCTTCCTCAAGGAAGTGATCTCATTCTCCCTTGAAGGTGGCCACTCTGCTCCTTCCTCTGGCAAACACTGCAAGCTGCCCTCCCCTGTACTGGTGCCTGCCTGACGTCCCCTCGGGCAGATGCCCCTCCACACCACCTGCACCCCACCCCTTCACAAGTCCTCACAAGACAGGAGTTCTAGGAATATTAAACAAATGGATGAAATGATCATTGCACCACCGCACCCACTGCAGTCAAGTTCTCTGCAAGCTGTTAATTACACCAACCAAAAGTCAAAATATACAGCCATCAACCAAATAATAATAATACACTGAGCAGAACAAAAGCATAGTAGAGAAAGATCTGGAAAGTGTGTAAAGAAAGTTTTCAGCCAGGTGTGGTAGCTTACACCTATAATCCCACCACTTTGGGAGGCAGAGGCAGGAGGATCGCTTGAAGCCAGGAATTCAAGACCAGCCTGGGCAACATAGCAAGACTCTGTCTCTACAAAAAAATAGAAAATTAGGCCATGGTGGTGCATGCCTGTAGTCCCAACCACTCAGGAGGCTGAGGCAGGAGGATCACCTGAGCCCAGGAGGTCGAGGATGCAGTGGCTGTGAGACCTCAACTCAAAAGAGCGAGTGAGACCTCAACTCAAAAGATTAAAAGAAAGAAAAAAGTTCTGATCACAGCAAGAGAAGGGTGACTGACACCGTTCATACAAAACAGGCCACCGTGAAACGCCACCTTCGAACGTGTAGAGAGCTTTGCAGGTCCCTATGGCGGGAAGGGGCTCCTCGTCATCAAACTCATCGTCGAAGTCCGTGGCCAGCACCTTCAGCTCGCTCTCCTGACTCTGCTCCTCCGTGTAACTGCCATCCGGGCTGCTCAAGAAAGGAAAACACACAGCAACTATAGCGACCGACTCCCACGGAGGACTCGAATCCGAGGCAGGCACAGTGAACACAGACTAGAAGTCGTTAGGCAGGTTTTCTTAGAGCAGGTCAGTGTCCAGACATCCTTCTTACCCATGCATGACCGTCACCCGACCAACCAGGCACACCAGACCCGACCACCTTGTGGGCTGGAATATGGATCTATCAGTGCAATGAGTCACTCAAGCAACAGGGAATTGCCCAAACACAGACAGGATGATCTCAGAAGAGCTCAAATCATACCAGGCATGGTGGCTCATGCCTATATCCCAGCACTTTGGGAGGCTGAGGTGAGGACTGCCTGAGCCCACAGGTTCAAGACCAGCCTGGGCAACTTGGTGAGACCTCATCTCTACATAAATAAAAAAATTAGCCAGGTGTGGTGGCGTGTGCCTGTAGTTCCAGCAACTCAGAAGGCTGAGGCGGAAGGATCACCTGAGCCCAGCAGGTCGAGGCTGCAGTGGCCGTTGAGTGTGCCACTGCACTCCAACCTGGGCGACAGAGTGAGACTCCAACAACAACAAAAAGCCCAAATCTAGTTAGACAGTATAGATTTCATTGTTTAGAAGGTCCTTGTGAACTTAAAAGGTGGAGAGACGGTCATCAAAACTCATGACCAGATACCTGCAGCCCACCCCTATTAGTTCATGGTTTGTCTAATCATTGTTGTAAAAGTATATAAAGCTTCTTTGTACAAGGCAAGCATGTGCCCTCTCTTAAGGCACCCATGCTCTCCCTTGAGCGTGTCTCTTTCATCCAAATAAACTCTTTCTTAAACTATACTTTGGACTTGCTCTGAAATTCTTTTCTGTGGCAAAGGCAAGAACCCACAGAGTCTCACACCACAAGTCACCTGGCATCAAATCTAGTCTCTGGCCGGGCTCAGTGGCTCAGCCTGTAATTCCAGCACTTTGGGAGGCCTAGTCAAGTGGACTGCCTGAGCCCGTAGGTTCGAGACCAGTCTGGGCAACTTGGCAAGAACTCATCTCTACAATAAAACAAAAACTAAAATTAATTAAACAAAAATTAGCCAGGCATGGCAGTTCCGGCTACTTGGAAGGTTGAGGTGGAAGGATCGCTGGAGCCCAGCAGGTCGATGCTGGGGTGGTCATGAGCATGTCACTGGTCTCCAGCCTGGGCAATGGAGTGAGACTCTGACTCCAAAAAAAAAAAAATAGCCAGGTGTGGTAGCACACACTTATAGTTCAGGCTACGTGGAAAGCTGAGGTGGAAGGATTATCAGAGTCCAGCAGGTTGACGCTGGGGTGTCTGTGCACGTGCCACTGCCCTCAAGCCTGGGTAACAGAGTGAGACTTTGACTCAAAGAAAAAAAAAGATGTACAACAGCAACATACATTTAAAAAAGATGGGAGGCCGGGCACAGTGGCTTAAGCCTGTAATCCCAGCACTTTGGGAGGCCAAGGCGTGCAGATTGCCTGAGCTGACAGGTTCGAGACCAGCCCAGGGAACTTGGTGAGACCCCATCTTTATGATAAATAAATAAAAAAAATTAGCCAGGCACGGTAGCGTGTGCCTATAGTTCCGGTAGTTCCAGCTCCTTGGAAGGCTGAAGCGGAAGGATCGCTGGAGCCCAGCAGGTCAAGGCTGGGGTGGCCGTGAGCGTGTCACTGCCCTCCAGCCTGGGTGACAGAGTGAGACTCCAACTCAAAAAACCCTCCGAAAAAACCCTAGTTCCTGCAACTGCAAAGCATGTGCAACACACCCACTCCCCCACCTCCCAGTGTCGTCATTACAACCATCTGAAGTCACCCCACATCCTCAGACCACCATCCCTTGCTGAATTTCACATCTGCACCTTGGAAAGAGTCAGTCATATCAGACATCTGGGCATCGAACAACTGTCCCGTGCTCACTTCCAGTTTCCAGAATTTGGAAATGAATACAAAGCTCACGTGCTACTTGGCCAGAAGCCAGCGCTGTCCAGATACTGTACCTCTCACGGTCCTGTGCGCAGTTGTTGACTGTGGGGGGGTGCTGGCTGTCGTAGAGTCCACTCTGCCGGCGCGCCTGTTCACCGCGTGCAGGGAGTCGGCCTTCCACCTCTGCCAGCCAGGCCTGGAGACACAAGCAATGATCCAGCCTGAGGGCGTCTGACAGACTGTGGCCCCCTCAGATCCCAAACTCGGGGGCTGCTCGCGAGTCACTTAATCTGACATGAGGAGGTCCCCACGGGGGCAAAGTGCCCTCGGTCCGCAGTCAGCTGTATACGTGCTCACGAACAGCTGCTTCCATGGCATCCAAAGTGGGAGAAGTAGAGGCACACGCACAATCATACAACTGCCCGCAATGTGGCAGCAAGAACACGGGGCTGCCTTCCCTCCGTGGGCCTGAAGCAGCTGTGACCTTGGCTAAGTCACTTCTAGTTCCTTCTGGTTCCACAGGGTGTGACCCAAGGTCACCCTGGGACACCCGAGGGTACGGTCATCCTTAAGCAGTGACTCAATTTGAAAGTCACATTTCCCGTTTTGGGGGGTATAATTTCTTTAAAGCAGTGATGAAATCAAAGTGGATACATTTATCTTCAGTAACCTTTGAAACGCTATAAAGAAGACAGAGGAATAAAAGCTCAATCCAACATTAATAACGGACGGATGGATTTTAAAAAGAATGAAAAAAACCAGCTGGGCGTGGTGGCTCATGCCTATAACCCCAGCATTTTGGGAGGGCAAGGAGGGAGGACTGCTTGAGCCCAGGAGTTCTGGGCAATACAGTGAGACCTTGTCTCTACAAAAAATAAAAAAGTAAGCCACGCATGGAGGCTGAGGCGGAAGGCTCACCTGAACCCAGGGGGTCAAGGCTGCAGTGAGCTCTGATCGTGCCACTGCATTCGTCTGGGTGTCAGAGTGAGAGTGAAGCAATTTATTTTGACTGGAATAGGCAGTGGCGAATTTATCTTTCCAAGCTCTGTGGTCTTTACATTTGGAGGGGAGTGGGTAAAGGCGCCTCTGGCTTATAGCTCCTGAGGGCTTCTCTCTCCTTAAGACACTTCTTGTCTGTGTTTCCTACTGGTTTTCAAACATATGTCCTTTCCACAGTGGGCCCTCTAAAAGACTAAAAACGTGTTCTAGCTGATCTTTGCATAGCCTTTGGGATTCCCTGGGATGACAGTGGCTCTAGACCCCCATTATATTCACACGAGATGAGGCAGAACCAACAAGTGAAGGACTTAAGTAAAAAACAAAAAACAAAAAAAACACGGCCGGGCTTAGTGGCTCAGTCTGTAATCCCAGCACTTTGGGAGGCCGAGGCGAGTAGATTGCCTGAGCCTGCGTGTTCGAGACCAGCCCAAGCAACGTGGCGAGACCTCGTCTTCCACAATTAAAAAAAAAAAAAAGACCCACTGTGGTCAAATGCAATTTTAAATACTGTCAACTTGTTTGGTTTGGTTTTGTTTTTGAGCTACGATCTCACCCTGTCACCCAGGATGGAGTGTAGTGGTACGATCATAGCTCACCACAACTGACATCCTGGTTTCAGGTGATCCTCCCTCCTCAGCCTCCCGAGTAGATGACACTGCAGGTACATGCCACCACGCCTGGCTCGTTTTTTTTTTTTGTTGTTGTTGCAGCAGTGAGGTCTCAATAAGTTGCCCAGCCTGGTCTCCAACTCCTGGACTCAAACGATCCTCTCTCCTCAGCGTGTCAAAGTGCTGGGATGATAGATGTGAGCCACTATGCCTGGCAAACACTGTCAGTTTTAAGAGACACAATGAAAACAAGCCTCTGCGGAAAAGCAGAGAGTCTGACAGGTAGCAATGTGTTTTTCCTTTTGCCACAGCTCATGAAACTTGACGTTCCCAGAGGCGTCTCCCCCGGTGGCAGAACTGTTGGTGTTCCTCACTGATACATGGCGCGTGACACCTGTTCCTCTTTCTGCTTCTTTGTTTCCAACAACAGAATTTTCTTACCTCGAATTTCTGAGTCTCAAGTCGTAGCTTTTCTATGTTTTGGCTGACTTCTGTTAATTTGTGGTCTAAACTGGCTGGATCTCCCATCTGAGGATTCTTCAGGTAGACATCTTTCATTTTTGTGATGGCGTCTCTGAAAAAAAGAATGAGCTTTTTGATAAAGGCTACTGCTGTCAGCCAGTTATATACTACTGCTTGGAAACTATGAGTACAATCATGGAGGATTTTATATATATATATATATATATTTTTTTTTTTTTTTTTTACTTGAGGTCTCTGTCACCCAGGCTGGAGTGCAGTGGCAGCCTCAACCTCCTGGGCTCAGGCAACCCTTCTGTCTCAACCTCCCGAGTAGCTGGGACTACAGGTGCACACCACCAAACCCAGCTAATTTTTTTTTTTTGGTAGAGACAAGGTCTCACTATGTTGCCCAGGCTGGTCTCAAACCCCTGGGCTTAAATTAATCTCCCACCTCAGCCTCCTGAAATGCTGGGATTACAGGCATGCTCGCTCCCTCTTTCAATTGGTACATGCAGTCTGATTACATGTAACATAAGGATGCATTTTATTTCACAAACATTTAAGCACCAGGCACCATTCTAAGCACATTACATACATCGCCCTGTCAACGGAAGTGGAGCCAGATGTGACCCCTGGAGTGCTTGGCACTTTATCACCCTCATTGCTGCTTCTGATTCATCCTGCCAATGCTATCTGTTTTCTGTCTCCCTTCTTCCCTTTTTGTATTGATTATAAAATTTTTTCCCCCCAAATCAAGCCAATTTCCTGCACAAAGTCTTTTCTGCTTGTTTTCTGGTCTTCCCGTAAAAAATGTAAATTGCATGAGAACAAAGGCTTTTGTATGTTTTGTTCATCGAGTCATACTCAGTGCCTAGAATACTTCTGTATTCGCAGTAAATGCTCAACAGTTGTTAAGGGAATCGTTGAACATAATTTGCCTTATTACCAGGAAGAGCTGCCACAGAGGCCAAAAGGTTAACCAGGTTCCATAGGCATGACTCCAGCGACAGAACGATTTTTCCAAAAAATTTTCTGACATCGGATAATTAGCAAGAAAGGGATCTCGCCGGGCTCGGTGGCTCAGCCTGTCATCCCGCGCCTTTGGGAGGCTGAGGTGAGT